AAATCCAAAATCATGAGAATTGCAAAGAATTGAATGGAACATTGGCGACATATGTTGAAATTGTTCGGTTTTGAGCTGCTCAGACAGGCCTTGGTGGTCAGCCGCCACTCTCAGGCGGCTTAGGCGGTGGCTTAGGCGGCGGCTTAGGTAGTGGCATAGGCGGCGGCCTTGGGAGCGGCCTGGGCGGCGGCCTGGGCGGCGGCCTGGGCGGCGGCCTGGGCGGTGGCCTGGGCGGTGGCCTGGGCGGCGGTCTTGGCGGCGGTCTTGGCGCTCAAGGCGGTGCTTTTGGAGGTCTAGGTGGAGGGTTGCCAGCCGCTCCCAGTGAACCAATCCCAAGTGCCTTTGGAGGTGCGCACCGCGCACACCTGAGTTTTGAGTGCGTCGATTTGCTGGTCGGGTCCATCCGTTTTCCATCCATGCGTTTATCTTGGAATTTTACCCAGTCGCCGCTTCAGTACGCTTCAGGTATGTTTCATGTAGCACCACGGATGCTGATCTCAGCATCATATAGAAGTTTTAAGTATGTATATAATATTATATAATTATAATAAGTCATTATATAGTGTTGAACAGTTTTTTGTGGGCTTGTTCGTCCTGGGAGTCTAGCGACTCTAGCACGCGAGAAACGGACCATCAAATAAAACACAGCTGCAGAAACAGGCCCTGGCAACCAGGGCGGCCAACTCGGTGGTTTTGGCAATGCTGGAAACTTGGGCAGCGGCTTGGGCAGCGGCTTGGGCGGCGGCTTGGGCGTGCCTCCTCCTTCTGGTGGAGGCGGTTTTGGAGGCATTGGCATGGGTGGACTTGGTGGCATGGCCCCAGCTCCTGCCATGGATGGAACAGGCGCGGGGCGTGCAGCACTAGCAATACTAGAAGTTTTGGCAGTTGACCTATGGGCCATCCGGCCACCCACCAATCTTTTTGATGCCCACCAGGTGCTTTAGCTGGTGGCACCGGAAGTGGTTTGGGCATGCCTGGATTGCAAGGAACTGGCCTAGATGCGCAGGGAGACAAAGGGGGCTTCGTGAAACTCAGCACGGACCCTGAAACCTTGCATCAGGCTTTCCACTACGCAGACATTGCTGTAACCAGGCTCTGGATGCTTTTCCAGTGCGCTGTTCTTTTCAAATTCATATCCATCAAGAAACAGCTGGTTGCCAAGTTTCACTGCAGTGATTAGAAAGGATGACCTCATTGTGGACACATGCCAAAATCGCAAGTAGGGAATCTTGTGCAATCTGAGGCATACCTTCTGCAGCGGCCAGAGCCACGATCTCCGGAAGAGTGTCGTGAACAGTGCTCTCGCAATGAGAGCTGTGCAGCTTGGGAGGTGCGACAGCCGTGAGAGAAATTTGCAGAGGGTACGGGTGGATACAATGTATTCATTGATGTAACTAGATGCAACTAGAAAAATCAAGATAGAACCATGCGCGCATGTTGTCTAGTCTCTACTTCTTCATTTCGTTCTGTATCAACCTGGTTCTGCAAAGGCCAACACAATGGTCTCAGAGAGGAAACAGTTGCTGGTCACCCCAGGTGTGCGCACCTTTGGGCGATGGCTGCGATGGCTGTTACCTCATTTCGCGCGCACCGCGTCGCTGGGATCAGCGGGAGGGTTGGCATGCGGAAATCCTTCCAGGCGTGGTCCGATGGGAACCGATGGGAACCGATGGGAACCGATGGGAACCGATGGGAACCGATGGGAACCGATGGGAACCGATGGGAACCGATGGGAACCGATGGGAATAGGACTGCAGCTCCAACGATGGCATTGGTCACCCATGCCTGAAACATTTTAAGATGATTGGATCCCTTTGAGAGGGCCAGTAATCATGGAACCGTTGATGATGTGACACTACATTGAGGCCGAGAAGAGCTTGGCTGGCAGAACAATGACACTGGTGGCCTTGCCTCTCATTGGCACATATTCTGTGGATATCCGTGGGCTGAATTGGCTTTTTTTTTTTGCATAATTCTGTGGCATATTTTGCCTAGCTGAGCGGCAAGGCAAACTTGACTGTGGAGAGCTGCCGAGAATTTTTGCTGAATGCCAACGGACGCTTGCCTTTCAAAACGAATCCAACTTGGCAATATTCCAAAACTTCTCTCACCTCGTGTCTAGACGAAGGCTCACAAGCATCATGCAAAGCTGTGTCTATTTGACAGGCCTGACTTTTTTGGGAAGCTTTGTATGGCAGAAGCGTTATTCCATAGGAACACTTCTTTGAAACACATTGCAACTACAGAAAGCTCATCTCGGTAGCCGAAGATTCAAGCAGCTGCAGCTGCAGCTGGAAATTCCATGAAGTTCCAGGTTGAAGGTCTAAGGGCAGGTAGTAGCGGGTAGATGCGGGTAGTAGATAGCGGATAGCGATGGAAGGGCAACCAGCACTGCCACGAGGAGCAGATCAAAGTGTTCCATTTCATGAGCCTGCTGTGATGCAGAAGTACGCAGCGACTTTCAGCTGAAAAGCCATTGAACGGATATGAATCATACATGAGCCATGTGAAATCATGTGAACCCATATGGCAGAATCAGTCAAGGTTGTATTGTTATTGGAATATCTTGGAATATCTTGAGATATTGTGGCCACCCAAGGTGTGGCTCTATGGTCTGGGATGCAGAAGCTCCACGTGGTCTCAATGTGGTTGGTCAACACTGGCCAACCTTTCTGATTACGAACTTCTGGGACCCCCCAATTTTGTTGCCGCAGGACAGGACACTGGGCAGAACAGTTGCGTGGCAAAGAGATGCAAAGAGTTGATTGGTTGATATTGGAACCTTCAGACAGGAGGAAAACGTAGAAGAACGATCCAAAACATTCCAAACCTATCCAAAGCTGTACTGAATTTACTAAAGGAGGGCTATTAAAAAATGTTTTTCAGTTTGGCTTTTGTATGCTTTTGTGACTTTTGTGGCTTCGGGATTCCTGACTTTTGTGAGTTGTGTCTTCTCGTTGGTTTTTGTTGCTTTTGGCTTCTTGGCTTTTTGCTTCACTTTGCTTCTTGGCACCCTGCTGCAACCGTTGTGCAGACAAAGAATTAGAAAAAAACGAACAACAACAATGTTTTATAAGAAAGTTGTGTTTTTTTCCTCTCTCTCTCTCTCTTTTGTGGCTTTTGTCTACTCGGCTCCTTATCAAAGGAAGTTGGGAAGCAATACTTCCGAGTTACGAATGACTTTTACTATGATGAAGGGTGGTGCGCGATCTATACTTGATGGAATTGACTATGATGAAGGGTGGTGCGCGATCTATACTGGATGGAATTGACTATGATGAAGGGTGGTGCGTGATCTAACGATCTAACAGTAATCTAACAATACATAACAAAAGAATAAGAAGCGATGAAATTGACTATGATGAAGGGTGGTGCGTGATCTAACAATACATCATAGAAGAATAAGAATCAATGGAATTGACTATGATGAATGATGAAGGGTGGTGCGTGATGATGAAGGGTGGTAGATCACAGAACAATACATTATCTAACAATACACAACAAAAGAATAAGAAGCTATGACACAGGGTGGTGACGAAGGGAAGTGGTGAGGAAGGGAAGTGGTGAGGAAGGGAAGTGGTGAAGAAGGGAAGTGATGATGAAGGGGAGTGGTGAGGAAGGGAAGTGGTGAGGAAGGGAAGTGGTGAGGAAGGGGAGTGGTGACGAAGGGAAGTGGTGACGAAGGGAAGTGGTGAGGAAGGGAAGTGGTGGCGAAGGGAAGTGGTGACGAAGGGAAGTGGTGACGAAGGGAAGTGGTGACGGAGGAAAGTGGTGACGAAGGGAAGTGATGATGAAGGGGAATGGTGCGGAAGGGAGGTGGGGAAGATGGGAAGTGGTGAGGAAGGGAAGTGGTGAGGAAGGGAAGTGGACGAAGGGAGGTGATGACGAAGGGAAGTGGTGACGAAGGGAAGTGGTGACGAAGGGAAGTGGTGACGATGGGAAGTGGTGACGAAGGGAAGTGGTGACGAAGGGAAGTGGTGACGATGGGAAGTGGTGACGATGGCAAGTGGTGACGAAGGGAAGTGGTGAGGAGGGGAAGCAATGACGATGGGAAGTGGTGAGGAAGGGAAGTGGTGAAGAAGGGAAGTGATGATGAAGGGGAGTGGTGAGGAAGGGAAGTGGTGAGGAAGGGAAGCGGTGACGAAGGCAAGTGGTGAGTTGGGGAGGAAGCCGGAGCACGAAACCTTGTGTTTTTCCGTGTAAAGTGGCTGCAGCCGGCGATGAAAGGTACCTCGTCTGTGCGGCGGTTGCGGCTGGGGTCGTTCCGGACGCGATTGGTTCCTTCTATGTGTTTTGCAAACAAGTGGTTGTTCCTGTGGTGTAGTTCTATGCGTTTCCTGAAGCTGTGGTTGCAGATCGCATTGTAATGGCTGCATGAATGTTGCATGGGCTATGTTTTGGGGAGGAAGCCGGAGCACGAAACCTTATGTTTTTCCGTGTAAAGTGGCTGCAGCCGGCGATGAAAGGTACCTCGTCTGTGCGGCGGTTGCGGCTGGGGTCGTTCCGGACGCGATTGGTTCCTTCTATGTGTTTTGCAACAAGTGGTTGTTCCTGTGTGCGTAGTTCTATGCGTTTCCTGAAGCTGTGGTTGCAGATCGCCTTGTAATGGCTGCATGAATGTTGCATGGGCTATCTTTTGGGGAGGAAGCCGGAGCACGAAACCTTGTGTTTTTCCGTGTAAAGTGGCTGCAGCCGGCGATGAAAGGTACCTCGTCTGTGCGGCGGTTGCGGCTCGGGTCGTTCCGGACGCGATTGGTTCCTTCTATGTGTTTTGCAACAAGTGGTTGTTCCTGTGGTGTAGTTCTATGCGTTTCCTGAAGCTGTGGTTGCAGATCGCATTGTAATGGCTGCATGAATGTTGCATGGTCTATGTTTTGGGGAGGAAGCCGGAGCACGAAACCTGGTGTTTTTCCGTGTAAAGTGGCTGCAGGCGACGATGAAAGGTACCTCGTGTGTGCGACGGGTGCGGCTGCGGTCGTTCCGGGCGCGATTGGTTCCTTCTATATGTTTTGCAACAAGTGGTTGTTCCTGTGGTGTAGTTCTATGCGTTTCCTGAAGCTGTGGTTGCAGATCGCATTGTAATGGCTGCATGAATGTTGCATGGGCTATGTTTTGGGGAGGAAGCCGGAGCACGAAACCTTGTGTTTTTCCGTGTAAAGTGGCTGCAGCCGGCGATGAAAGGTACCTCGTCTGTGCGACGGGTGCGGCTGGGGTCGGTTCTGTCGCGAATTGTTCCTCCTATGTGTTTTGCAACGAGTGGTTGTTCCTGTGTGCGTAGTTCTATGCGCTTCTTGAAGCTGTGGTGGCAGATCGCATTGGAATGGCTGCATGATTGTTGTCATTTGGTGTTGCCACGTCCGTAGATAGGTGCAGGTTTGCTACGGGATGCTGCGAAACGCATTGTAATGGCTGCGTCAAGGTTGCTCGGTGCCGCGGCTGCATGCGTAATACTATTGTCTTTTGCAGCTGAGCATCGTAAATCGTATTGGAATGGCTGCATCCACGCTGCGATAGTGATTTGTCAGCAGATTTTTTCAACTTTGGCGCTAATAATTTTCCTTTTAAAATTCCTTTTAAAAAGTGCTTCAAAATCGTCTTTTTTCTGCTACACCGTTGCGCGTAGTTCTATTATTGTGCTTTGCAACTCAGTCTTTGCAGATCGCATTGTAGTGGCTGCGTCAAGGTTGCTCGGTGCCGCGGCTGCATGCGTAATACTATTGTCTTTTGCAGTTGAACAGCGTAAATCGTATTGGAATGGCTGCATCCAGGCTGCGACAATGATTTGTCAGCAGATTTTCGCAATTTTGGCGCTAATAATTTTCCTTTTAAAATTCCTTTTAAAAAGTGCTTCAAAATCGTCTTTTTGTCGCTTTGGCGTCGAGATCCGGTTTTGGAGCTGCGATTTCCGACGCCGTTGCGCGTAGTTCTATTGTGTTTTGCAACTCAGTCTTTGCAGATCGCATTGTAATGGCTGCGTCAAGGTTGCTTGGCGCAGCAGCTGCATGCGTAATACTATTGTCTTTTGCAGCTGAAGATCGTAAATCGTATTGGAGTGGATGCATCAAGGCTGCGACAGTGATTAGTAGTAGTACTGGGAAGTGATTCATGAAAGCTTAGATGACACATGAGAAGAGATGAGATGAGAAGAGCTGAGCTGGGATAAGGTGAGAAGAGCTCAGATGAGATGAAGTGTGGGGTGTGAAGAGTGCAGTGTGAAGTGTGTGGCGTGAAGAGTGCAGTGTGAAGTGTGAAGTTTGGAGTGTGAAGAGTGCAGTGAGAAAGGGCGTGAAGAGTGCAGTGCGAAGTGTGGAGTGTGAAGCGTGAAGTGTGGACTGTGAAGTGTGAAGTTTGGAGTGCGAAGAGTGCAGTGTGAAGTGTGAAGTGTGGAGTGTGAAGTGTGAAGTGCGGAGTCTTAAGAGTACAGTGTGAAGTGAAGTGTTGACTGTGAAGGGTGCAGTGTGAAGAGTGCAGTGTGAAGAGTGCAGTGTGAAGTGTGTAGTGTGGAGTGTGAAGACTGTCAAGTGTGAAGTGTGAAGTGGAGCTTGAAATGTGACATGTGAAACAAGACACCAGTTTCGCAGAGTGCAGGCACGCACGGGCTTGGCTGGCGCACGGCGCATGCAAGTTCTATAGATGAGAAAGGTCTTATATATATCTTTAAGGCAACTTCCGCCCCGCCTCGTGCGGGTACTACTGGTAATTATAGTATATAGTTTCCGTTTTTTTTTTCTTTTGTTGTTTTTGGCTTCTTGTTCTTTTGGCTTCTGTGGTTTCTTGGCAGTATGCTGCCACTATCGTGCCGACAACGAGTAAAACATCAATGAGAACTGATAAAAAACAAACTGATATAACATGATAGCGTTTTGTAATTTTATAAGAGAGGCAAACCCAATCCAACAATAGAACTTATAGGAACACTTTGATAACATCCAATGAAACTATTTACACCCAGTACACCCAACAAGGTTGTGCCTCAACCTACCTTATATACATAATAAATGATATACATGTTTATATATTGTGTTTATAAACATATCCCGTATCTCTCAATGCACCTTAATCCAACCTTCAACAAACTTTAAATACGCCCTAAACCAACCCTAAATAACCTATATAAGTAAAGATTAAACCAACCGTAACCAACCCTAAATAAGCCCTGAGGCAACCCTTCATAAACCATCACCCTAAACCAAACCCCAAATATAACCTAAAACCAAACCCCAAATGTAACCTAAACCAACACTATGATAGCATCCAATGAAACTATTTACACCCAACACCGCTGTGCCTCAACCTATATTCTGCATGTTCACCAGGTGCATGTTGTACATGGACAAATCGATTAAAACCACGGCAAAATCAATTGAAACCACAAATCGATTAACACCATGGAAGAACCCATTGAAACCATGGAACAATCGATGAACACCATGGAAAAATCAATTGAAACCATGGACACATTGAGTAAAAACCATGGAACACTGAATTAAAACAACGGAAAGATCGATTAAAACCATAGAAAAATCGATGGACAGTGCAAATGAGAACTTTTAGCTCCAAATTTTAGCATTTGAGCAACTGCGAGGAGGTGGAGCAGGAAATGTTGTCATCAAGCCCGCGGCAGCAGCGCCCACCCACCCCCATGGCAGCTGCAGCTTTGGAAGCCATGCAGCGACCAGGCCATTTACATGTTGAACCATGCTGAGACATGCTGACACATGCTGAAACAGCCTCACAGCACTTCACCCGTGCTGCCTGTGAACACGTGCGCCAAGAAATCCGGTGATTTTAGCCTTGCAGCATTTCCATGCCAGGTGTGACTGAGCAGTTGCATGGAACCATTGGTTCCGACTCCTGGGAAGGACACCGTCGAAGTCGGGTCTCAGACTCAGACGTTGTGTGGCTTATATATATATATATGTGAATTGTGTGTGTATATATATATATATGAATGAACATAAATACATCTTTGACAAACAACGCATTTTTCCTTGTCGTTTATTTTCTGTCACTTGATTCATGCAGTGAAGAAAGCTAGTTCCCATGGCGATGTACTATGATGTGTTTACTGTTTACATATTATATCATATATATATATATGATACTTGAAGAGCACTCCAAGGACCGAGCTCCTCATGCCTTCGTTTTGCCCTTTTACGACACAAACATTGGGCACTGGATGAAGCAGCATGGCTCCATGAACCCTTTGCAGTCATACGAGATGCAGTCAATCCTGCAACCCGGTGATACGGTCATCGATGTCGGTGCCAACCTGGGGTGCTACACTTTGCCCTTTGCAGAGCGGGTGGGGGCTGCTGGAAAGGTCATTGCAGTGGAGCCATTCCGATGGTTACGTCAGATTGTGGCATCCAATGTGGCCATCAACGGCTTGAGCAACGTCTGGTTGCCCCCAGTGGGTCTGGGAGCGGCTCGTGCCAGTTTTGAGGCACGACCCCCCCAATTCCGGTTCTTCTCATCGCCAGGAGGGGTGAAACTTCACCAACAGCAGGATATGAAGCCCGAAGAAGTGATGCAAATGTATGATTGGGATGTTGCACCTGAAAGAGTCACAGTCTTGACCATGGATGAGTTACTTGGAGTGGTTCCATCTGCTGGGGTTGAGCTTCTCGGCCTTCCCCCCATTGATGGGGTTCGACTGATAAAGATCGATGTGGAAGGGATGGAAAAAGAGGTCATTGCCGGAGCCAGAAGTGTGGTTCAAATGTTCAAGCCGATCATTTGGTCGGAGAATGTGGCCTACTTCTCCTCCAAAGGTCCCCTGGAAGCAGTTGGCAGTTGAAAAATCATGTTCCCAAATTCGCCATTGACTCCTTGCAGAGCAATCGATGCGGTTGCCAAGGTCAAGACGTGTCTTTCCTACAGTTCCTTGTGCTGCAATGTAGTGAGTGACTGCAGCGACTGTCCAGACTGTTTCAGAAAATCCAAGGATGCAACTGCTTGGGGTTGAATGCCAGCACACGCTCTGAGGTTAATGGACGAGTTGGAATACAACTGCGCTGGTGCGCAGAATGCCCCAAACGACATCATTTGCACTGACAGACATGGCCGTGGACATCAGATCAGCTGATGAATGTTGAGAAAGATGATGACCAAGGAGCAGGTGATGCCCAAGCAGGGTGCCAACCAGAGCAGGGCAAGAGCCCAAGAAAGAAGAGACCAAAAAACATGGAGCGGGATTTGAAACGCATCTATCAAATCCAGGAGGGGGACGGCAGGGAAAACACAAAGAGCATTTGCAGGGACGGAAACTAGATTCTGCGGGGATTCTATTCGCATCTTCGCATCTTCGCATTTTCTTCGTATCTGGCTGAGACGTGGGTTTCTTGATGTTTCTTGTAGCACAAGCGAGCCCGCCTCTTCGGCGGTTCGGCTCAAGGTGAGGGAGGCGTAGGACCAGCTTGACGGCCGGCTCCTTTCAGTTCTTCGCAGTTGGCACCGTAGGAATGGCACTTCACTCTAACACTGTCTAGCACTCTAGCTTTGCATAGATTGCGTGCAAGCTTCTCGCCGGCTGAATGTATTTGCCAATTTTTGACCAATGGCTAGGAGAGAGACAGAGAGCAATCCTTACCTGTAGGTGGAGCCATCCCAAAACAATATAAAACAAAAGGGTCAAGGTCATTTTGTGTGATTTCGCTTGGCCTTGTGGCCACCAGCGTCTGCTGTTTGGGTGCTGGGTAGCGCTGCGGCTATCATGGATTCTTGGCGCTGCGAGGGATGTGGGCCTTGGATGGCCTGGGTAACCCTTCTGTGGCCCCAAGATTGAAGATATCGAAGATCACCGAAGTGTCAAGACTGATCTGGACATGTTCCATGCTACCCAGGGGCAGTTGATTTAATTTTGTTGTAACTTGCGGAGACCAAAGCTTTCTCAGCTAAGCTTGGTCTGCCATGTACATATCATTGTTAGATGACCGCAGAAAAACATCATTCCGTCGCCTCGCCTCAAGGAGCCAGAAAGTTCCACTCCAATTCGTGGGAAGTCCACGGGGGTCTTCGTGGAGAAACCCTACAGACCTGGCAAGGCCGATCACCGGCAGGGACGAAGGGCTTCCCATAGACTTCCCCATCCCAACCCCAAACTGGAGCCTTGTGTCATCCCATGTCATCCCATGTCATCCCATGTCATCCCATGTCATCTGGCAATGTCCAGGTCTTCAAACTCCGCGATGTACGAACCAGCAAAGATGTGCCGCGCGCAAGTAGCGCTGATGAGCATTCTAACTCACGCCACATGGCTGCAGAAGGTGCAGAAGGATGACTTTTGGGGTGCGATCTATCTTTTCTCATATTGACAGTGTTTGACAGCGTCAATTTCCCATGGGCATGTAGGGTGCTTCCCTCAGCCTGGCTGCGTCTATCCAAGGTGACCACACTCCCCAGGGCGTGGACCGTGGCATGGGACGTTCCTCAGCGCATTGTTTTTGGACGTTTTTGGCATGGGACATCACATCCGGCCAGCTGAAAATCAAATGGCAGAAAGTCATAGGTCATAGAAAGTGTAGATCAGAAAGAATCATGAAGGCCACCCTGACCATTACATCCTTGGCTCAGGTGAAGCTTCACCCAATCGAGGGAGCGCCAGTAAGGAACCGCCTTACAGAGATTACAGAGACAGAGATCACAGAGGTCGTCCAGATGGCCGCGACCACCGCGAATACCGCGACTATTCTCCATATGATCCCCGTGACTATGGGGACGGCCGGGATCGCCGGGATCGCCTCAGTCTCCTGATTGCAACGAGAGACGGGACAGTTTTGATAGCTTCGGCGCGCCAGGACACCAAAAGAAACACTTAAAAGCCTTAAAAGCATTTAAAAGCACCATCTGAAAATTTATCTGAAACACCTTTTGAAACAACATGATGGGTAGACGGGGGGGGAGTTGCCCGAATCTCAGGGCCGTCTTGACGAGCTTCAACATGTTAAGCAATGAAGTCATGAAGTGTAGGGACGTTTCTCTGTAGTGGCAAGCCTATTTTTATCATTGTGCATCGGTGTCTATGATCTTCATTTTATTTATAGATTGTTTCCAGATGGGCATCAAATTATGCATGAAGTCAACTTCCTTTTTTTCAGGCATAGATGTTGAAAACGACCCTTACAAGGGATCGCGCAGGTTTTTCGTCCTGAATTTAGGTAACTTTTCAGTGAACCAGGTGGTATCTACATAGGCCTGTTGGGATGAATTTTGTCTTTGACAAAAGCCATGTTGGCAAGACAAGAGAGAGGTCGACATGAATGAGTGCTACAGGAAAACGCACATAAAGACATTACTGCCCCCCCAACCAACGAAGTAGCGAGACAAGAGAGAGGTCGACATGAATGAGTGCTACAGGAAAACGCACATAAAGACATTATTGCCCCCCCAACCAACCGAGAGGCAAGACAAGAGAGAGGTCGACATGAATGAGTGCTACAGGAAAACGCACATAAAGACATTACTGCCCCCCCAACCAACCAAGAGGCGAGACAAGAGAGAGGTCGACATGAATGAGTGCTACAGGAAAACGCACATAAAGACATTATTGCCCCCCCCCAACCAACCGAGAGGCAAGACAAGAGAGAGGTCGACATGAATGAGTGCTACAGGAAAACGCACATAAAGACATTACTGCCCCCCAACCAACCAAGAGGCAAGACAAGAGAGAGGTCGACATGAATGAGTGCTACAGGAAAACGCACATAAAGACATGATTGACCCCCCAACCAACCAAGAGGCAAGCCAAGAGAGAGGTCGACATGAATGAGTGCTACAGGAAAACGCACATAAAGACATTATTGCCCCCCCCAACCAACCAAGAGGCAAGACAAGAGAGAGGTCGACATGAATGAGTGCTACAGGAAAACGCACGGAAAGACATTACTGCCCCCCCAACCAACCAAGAGGCAAGACAAGAAAGAGATCGACATGAATGAGTGCTACAGGAAAACGCACATAAAGACATTACTGCCCCCCCAACCAACCAAGAGGCAAGACAAGAGAGAGATCGACATGAATGAGTGCTACAGGAAAACGCACATAAAGACATTACTGCCCCCCCAGCCAACCAAGAGGCAAGACAAGAGAGAGGTCGACATGAATAGAGTGCTACAGGAAAACGCACTAAAGATATTATGCCCCCCCAAACCAACCCAAGAGGCCAAGACAAGAGAGAGAGGGGTCGACATGAATGAGTGTACAGGAAAACGCACAGAAAGACATTACTGCCCACCAACCAACCGAAGAGGCAAGACAAGAGAGAGGTCGACATGAATGGGTGCTACAGGAAAACGCAATAAAGATATTATGCCCCCCAAACCAACCACGAGGCAAGACAAGAGGAGATCGACATGAAATGAGTGCATACAGGAAAACGCACATAAAGGACATTACTGCCCCCCCAACAAACCAAGAGGCAAGACCAAGAGAGAGGTCGACATGAAGAGTGATACAGGAAAACGCACAAAAGATATTACTGCCCCCCAACAACGAAGAGC